GAATGAATCTCATGAATCTCATTACCAGCCTACAATGACAGGCAAACACTGCCCGTCATGTGCTATCAACCAGAGAGTATTGCTTAGTATCAATCAGCTGAATGAATCTCATGAATCTCATCAGCACTACCAGCCTACAATGACAGGCAAATACCGTCCATCATCGCGTGCTATTGACCAGAGAGTATTTTAATGCTTGATATCGATCAGACGAATGAATCTCATGAATCTCCAGGGACAGCGGAACCCACTTTTTGTGAAATTTTAATACATTTTCACTAACCCCCCCCCCCCCCCCCCCACCTTGCCATACAATGTCACTATTGAGCCCCCCAATCAAAAAACTGCTCCGCCGTCCCTGATCTCATTGCCAGCTTACTATGTCAAGCAAATACTGCCCTTCACACTCGGCCATGAGCTGGTTAAAACTTTAGAAATGACATGCTATTGATATGTAGGAAGCTAAACAGGGCAGCATGGGAGCCTATCTTACTAAGTACATACCTTTTTTCCATCTTCTTTTTCCATGTGTAGAAAGTATGTAGGATACATTCCTCTATCCATGCCTTTCTTGTCTCTGGTAATACGGCACTTGATAACTACTCCCTGTGGAGCAGGTCTGTTTGAGGAAATAAACAGGGGGGAAACTCTAGTTAATGTTGCAGTAAAAGGAAAAGTGGCTGTTACTTTAGACAGATGGGAAGTCAGGTCTCGGGTTCAAATGCTTGAAGACATCATATTATGAGAAGAGTTTGCTTAGTCTATCTATTGATCCTAGGGTTTTTCTCTGGTTTTTCTCCCTCTACAAGATATAGTTAGCAAAATTAATTCCAATTTGATGTGGCTTAGCCATGCTCTAACTTTCATTGGCCCAGAGTTTGTTTGAGGGTTTGCACTATGAGTTAGCTGCGAATTAATAGAGAGTTTTAGATTTACGTTCACGGCAAACGTGAAACGTCAGTTGACCATTTAAAAATGATTTTGAATAGCTTTAAAAGTATCGTAAAAAAGTCCAAGTAGTAGAAAAACAAAAGAATATTTGTCTTTGGTGAGAAGGTTTGTAAAAGGTAATTAAGTAAAATACAGGAAAACTATGAAAACRTGGTCACGTTTGCTGTTTGCGGGGAGAAAAAAAGTCAATCTAAAACTCTCTAATAGTTAAAAATTAATGGTTTTGAAGTCAGAATGCTCTGAATGAGCTCCTAATGAAGCTGTCACTGCAATGCTCATGAGTTCAATGCTCAAACCCAAAAACATCTTTCAAAAATTCATTCACTCCTGCATCTGTTTTGATGGTTTTTCTCTTGGTTCGCCTTACCTTAATACAAACTTTTCCAGGTCATCAATTTCAATGTCGTTTGCTGGTGTTGATGTTAGGGGTGGAGACTCCGTGCTAGCCTGAGGAGACAAAAAATTCTGTTCATTTACTGCAATTTCTAAGATTTCACCAACTCAGTAGTGTGACTTGCCTAATACCACTCTTTTCACTGCTACGTGCTGATCAAGACAACAGTCTCAACTCAGGGAAATTGGACAATACTTAGAAAAATGCGATGACAAAATTAATTGTCATCGATAAGAGAACAGACACATAAAAAACTAATACTATTTTTTTTACAATAACAAAAACAATAACAAAAATTATAAAAAATTCAAGTTTTTAGTGACCAAAATAAGCAACGGAGAGAGGGAGCATGTCAGTTTATTTGTCTGTCCTCTCATTGATGATACAAAATAGCCAATCTGCGTGGCCAAAATTTGTAAGTTATTTTAAAATTAGTTATTGCACTCAGCATGTTCTAGAGACTGTAAGAGGGGGATAATGGACCTTTATCGCACGGCAGGCATGTTTACCCTCATGAGAATAAAAACCTTTGTCTTACCCACATAAACTCATTCTCAAACTCTTGTATGCGAGGCTACGCATGTTAGAGTCTATTGTTCCAACCAACATGGCTGCTGCATGAAAATGGCCCATAGTAAATTAAATGACTCTGACCTTCTTGGTCTTCGATGCTATGTCATAGGAAGGAGGCCGATCTTGTCCTGTTGTTTGAGGAGAAGGGCTCCTTTCCTTTGTTACTAGCGGTGTAACAGCTTGAGAATGACCTTCATCTTCATCATCATCATCATCATCATCATTATAGCTTGCAAAGTCAGCACTTGATGACAGTCCCATAGCTGCTAACTTTCTTTCTGTGTCGGTGGTTTGTTTTACTCTTGGCTGGGGTGGTTCATCTTCTTCGGTACCAACATTTACTAACAGACCCCCTGTTGGTATATCTGGTGATGGGCTTTTGTTTGTACCATCTATACCTACAGTACACATGGAGTAAAGCAGCAATCATTAAATATATCATTGCTGCATCTTATCACTTATTTGAAATAATTAAAATTTTACATGTACATGTATATAGATTATCTTGTTTCATGTCTAACAAAGAACCACCTCTCATGATTATCACCMTTATCATCTTCATCATCATTCATCACCATCATATCATTATTAATCATGATCCTCATCATCATTTATCACCATCACCACCTCCATCACCATCACCATTTATCATATCATCACGTTTGTCATCATCATCGCCATGTATCATCATCATTCATCACCATTTATCATATCATCACTGTTGTCGTCATCATCACCATTTATCATAATCATGAATCATACAAATTATTTGAAACAATCCTTTAGCTATAGCGGTGCAAAATAAATTATGAAATAATTCACCACAAAAAGTAAGAAAGTCTGGTTCATTAGCTAGCTTTAAAAAGAAATTGAGCCAGGTTTCTYTCTAAACTTTGGATTCTCAAGCCCCGTTTACACTGGCGATTTTTGCTGCAATTTTTGTAGCAATTTTCGGAAATATGAAATCTTGTCTCATCCTTCAAAAGAGACATTCGTCTAGGAAAATCTTGGTATCCTGAAAAAAACTTTGTAAACAAGTAAAATTCTTTACCATTATTTATTATGCACAAAATCGCAAAAAATCGCAGCAAAAATCGCTGCAAAAATCGCTAGTGTAAACGGGGCTTCACATGGCAATCATGTAAAATAGTTACTGTCTTTTCATTGTAAGTTATTTGACTAATGATTTTCTTTAAACTGTGTTTAAATAAAGTTTTTGATTGATTGAAATGATGATTACATTGTCAAATAAAAGGAATGGCTCTTTTTTCTGGTCTTATATCTTTGAAAATCCCACATGCTTACTTGGCCATTTGCTGGCATATCTAATTCTCTAAATGTTATTTTCTTCGTAAAAAAAACAACGCTGCAGTCTAAGACTAATAGTCTTTTTTCAATCAAAAAAAAAAAAAAAAATTAACAAACAAAAAAACTAGGAGGTAAAAAAATAGTTGAATGTGTGTTGTCCTCATGTCACCTCAGGCAAAGATTTCTTAATATACTCAACTAAAAAAATACCTCAGTTTTCTAAACCAGTTTTTGTCCTAACCTCCTAAAGCTGGATGCACAAAGGGTGGATAAGAGTTATCCATTGTTCGTATAGGTTTTAATGGCTGGATAAGGATTTATTTGGTGGATATATAGCTCCTTCAGCCTCCGGGGAAGTACAGGTCCCTGAGAGTAATGTAATCTGACTCTAATCTGAGGAATATTTCTTTTATCATAATATAAAAAAGCCCAATAATTGTTTTGCCCAAGGTCTCAAAACATACTCTTAAACAAAAAAACAAAAAAGGTTACTCAATTTAAACTGAACATTCAAATTTTGTTTTATTGGTGGGTTGTAAGTCCAACATAATGTCAGATTTTTAAAAGCTTTATTTTTTTATGTAGAAAGTATCCATACCCCACCAACAGGGGAATTAAATTGGAAATTTTCGAGGGGACGGGGGTCAGAGAAAGGGAAAAATACAGAGTTTGTATGGAAGAAAAATGGAAGTTCCTGGGGTAGCGTTCTTTAATTTGCAAATTCCCTCCATGGTGTGGGTTTGGATATTTTCCAAAACTACGCAATTTCAGTTGCTCAAGGACAAAAGCAATTGAATTCAAACAAAAAATCAGAAACAAAAATTTGATAAACAAGAATAATAACAATATTATTAGAATTCAAAGATTTTCATGGCCATAAAAAATTGCTGCATAATAAGGGCTTTTTCATGGGTTTTCCATATGTTTTTCATGGTTATTCACCATGAAAAAATCTATGAAAATACCATAAAAAACCTTTGACTTTACTGTGAATTTGATATTTAAAAAATCACAGGATTTTCATGGGTTTTCAGCACGTAGCGAATAATTATTAGGGTCATTTTATGGGTTTTAGTGATTTAGAACTTATTAATGGATTAACTAAAGGTTTAAACAATACAAGGCCTTGATATTTGGGTGAGGCTGACTTAGACTTCTCTCATTTACTTCATTTTTTCCTTCATTTTTTCCTTCATTTTTTTAATTTTATTCATTTTCCGTTATTCAATACAGTACCATTAAAAGTTAAAGATGGATATACAGGAACAAAGGTATTAATTACAGTTACGCAGTAATTAAAAATAATAGTTCTAAAGGCAATGGCATAACTGTAGTTAATAAAAGAAAATTAAGGTTATTTAGGTTAGGTAAAATTTACAAATAATCTATTCTTTAACTTATTTGAAAAAATAAATTTCTATGACTACAAGTCTGTACATAAAAAATAAAATAAAATAAAATGAAATGAAATGAAATGAAATAAAAATAAAATAAAATTGTATAA